TGCATTTCTGTGACAGCTCAGTTTCAGTTTGTTGGCAAAAATGACCGATCTACTAAAATGTGGACAAAAAAATCAGGCATTCTTTTTCCAATGCCCGTTTGATACAGTTTTCTAACAATAGAAATGACCATGAAAGCCAAGTTTAAGGTGTCCGCGTCCGCTTGATAGAGGTGTCCGTTGAATACAGGTATTTTTTACAGTGAATGTAGGAAAAGAAAAATGGGACTTGCACTGCTGTCTCCTTAATAGGGGGTGTCCGCTTAATTCCCTAGGAAAAGAACCCGCCATAGATTTCCGATGAAACTTGGTATGCTGTTGTTAGAGGACAAGGAGATATTAAGAACGTAATAAAAGGAGGGGATCACCGTGCTTGTTTTCACGCCACAATGCTGACAAATACGGTTATTCAGGTGACTTTTCATAATTTCCATGCGCAACAAATAAGCTCGATTATTTTTCAAAGCAGCGTGTTATATCACACAGAGTTTGACTCTCTTTGATTGTTTATTCATCTACGTCCCAGAAAAAAAGCCTTCAGATACCCTGTATTTTTTTATCACCCTTTAAAGGAAACATAATCTGGACATGCGCTTTTAGGCCCGCTATGTCTCCCTCTGTGGTATTTATTTCATTTGCCAAAAAAGTAGCCATAGATTTCTGCTAATTTTTTCCTCAGTTATAGAGGATATTGTTCTCATTAAAATTATGAAATAAGAAGTGGGGGCCACCATGCTCGTTTAAAAGAAAAGGAGCATTTATTTCGCTATCGAGCTTAGTTCCAGGGAAATTTCTTACGTTTTGTGCGCGCAAGCGCTCATTTGCGTGCGCTAATGACCCGAAAATCGTGCGCAGTAGGGATGCGCAATGCAATATTAGGGAATCACCTTAATTGTATGTCATTTCTATATTTGCCTCGTTTTCCAAGATGACATAGCTTCTCATAATCAGGTGTCGCTAAGCACTATCGCTTGAAAATCGTATAGTAATTGTTAGTTACTTTATTTCAGACATAACTCTTCATTTAGTTATATCACTGCTATTTGCACTCTTCACTTAACTCGTGTTATAATTTCCTTGATCTTAACAGAATTGGGCAAAATGAGATTTAGCATGATGCGGCCATACCTCTGTGGTTAATTTTCAAGACAACGGATGTCTTAAACACCTGGTTTATATTACGAACCATCTACGATTGTTATTTCCCATTCGGTTTTATAAGAATAAGATCTTGTAGAAACAGGAGTTTCAACTGAATCCGGCAAAGCCTGAATGATTGCACAAAGAATCTCGGCATATGCAATGTTACACCAACCATTCAAACAAAATAAAGACCGATAAACCATTAGCCGCGTCATAGATCATTACAAGATAGATATCATGGCAAGACAAAAGTAAACAACAGCAAGACATTTCTAAGGATTAAACATTAGATTGTGGTACTTTTCTCATTATCTTTTTTCACAACTGATAAACCCAAGATCACCGTTATCATCATCATCTTCATCATCATCATCATCATCATTATTGCATCAGTAAAGCCAAGTGAAGCATCACGCTAAATCATGAATCGGCACTGAGAAAATTAAGTTAGCGAATGTTTACTTGTTAAATTTCCAGTTCGACCAGTTTGGAGCAACTTTGTATAATAATTACCCACCTGTTTCCTAAGCATCTTATTTCTAGTCAACTTACTTTCCAGCTGGCTGTAAGTATTTGTTGTCGTCCCTTTTTTCATCCCATTAACTCTCTTAACCATTCAAAAAGTAACAAAAGCAATAACAAATATACAAACAAATAATAATTTTAATGGATATGAAACCAGAAATGAAAATGCAGGACGAACTTTGCCTTCCACTCAATCTTTGCGAGATTTTTTTAGAGTAACTGAATGAAACCCATTCCCGGAGCATTCGTTTATTTTGGTCAGCGAGAGCCTTGGGTACGAGGTTGTTGCTCGTTTTACTTGCTAAGATAACACGGTTTTACCCTACCGGCTTATGTTAAATTGCTCGAAGAATTGTAAAAGAGATTACAATCAGTCTAAGGGATTTCAAACTATCACTAACAAAGTTGGAGGAAAGAAGAAGTCTAAACGATCAGACCTCCAAATTGATGAGTAACCAACTGCGCATGCGTGACACGACTGTTTAATCAATCCTCTTCCAATCTCGTTCCCAGAGCCCACGTGTCTTTTGGTCAGCGCCACAGCGACACGTGGGCTCTGGGAACGAGATTGCCATGTTTTAAACCAAGGCACGCCTGCGCCGTGAAACTGAAACTCCTAAAATCTTGGAGTTTGGAAATTGATTATTCCAGAGCCCCGTGTCTTGGCGCTGACCAAAAGACACGTGGGCTCTGGGAACGAGATTGATCCTCTTCCGATCCAATCTCGTTGTCAGAGGTTGCAAATCATTTTGGTTTACACAAAGAAATCGAGACCTCTGGGAGAAATCCGAAGGTGAGCCAGCATTAGCTAAAGCGGAGACTCTCTCCTCGTTAGTGAACTTCAACGCATGCGCACCAGGAATTTCTGGAGACAATTTTCTGCTATCGTCAAGAAAGTCGTTCAGAGCGTCGTGTGCTCGGCCACCGCTGACCGAAAACGCGTGAGCTCAGGGAACGAAATTCAAAATTTACATGCCCAGATACTTAGGTAATGCTAGCCATAAAAAGAAAACTTTGACTTGGTTTATAAAAGCCAATATTTTTATGGCGCGCCTCTTCAGTCAATGTTCAAAAAAACTTTAATATTTTTAGTGTTTTCTTTTAACAGGACGAGATGTAAGAAATACACAAGCAAACTAAAAAAACATACAGAAAGGACATAAAAAATAAGGCACAGAAATGTAATGGATGTACTGCATATTAAGTTGTTTGAATATTGACTGGAAACGCGCGCCATATATTTCCAATCGTTAATTAAACTGACTAGGTTTTCCAGGGCCACTTTCAGTCTAAGAATTATTGAAGTTTCGCAAGGAAACTTTCATTCAAACCACTTTCTACTTTGATGGAAGATCTGACGCTGAAGGAAAAATAATTTTGAAAAAACCACCAGCGTATTCGATGCTAGCTGTAATTTACTGGCTGATAGAAATGGCCTATCGCGTAGGCTTCAGGATTATTAAACTTTATTAAAGTTTGATTGATCATAACAAAAATGTATTTTATTTCCATATTTTACCTGCAGGTGCTGCTACAACACCCATAAGTATATCAATAGAGACGAGGTTTTTAAAACGGTGTCCACAGGGAAACCAACAGAATTTTCATTGTTTTTATCAAAACGTTAATCGCTTTTCTTTTCTCTGGAAACTGGTAGGGTGGGGTTTTTTGGTACAAATAAATTAATGGTGCTTTTGTTGCCGACTCAAAATGGCGAAAGACCACAATAACGTAAAATTTATGCAATAACAACTGGACATTTAGTTCATTCGTTCAAGGATTTGTTCAAAATTCTTGATTTTATTTCCGGGGAAGGGGGCCTGAGGCTTATTATCCGGGTATGTTAAAATGAACTTCCCGTCTGACGCTTCGCGCTTAGTGGTGCACAGCTTATGAGAGCTTAATTGTAGTCGACCTTGTCTGCAAGCGACGCGAAAATTTACTGGTCTCCATGCTGATTGTCGATTTACAGACGAGAACAATGATTAATCCAGCGCAGAGCGGTCAGGGCAGGATTTTTGTTGAAAGCGTCAGAGTTACAGGAGAACAAGGCGATGCAACAGACAAGCAATATGTGTTCCCAAGACAGTGCTTGGTACTGGGCGACTCTGAAGTTGGTAAAACCAGTCTAGTAAAGTCGCTCACTGGAAAACCATTTGATCCTAAGCAGCAAAAAACCCGAGGAATTGATGAGCTTCTTGTGGATAATGAGTGGAAAAACTGCAACTTAACGGATCTTGTCTTCGGAGACCTTTGGAAGTTCCTTAAAAGCGGCCACGTAGCATTATTTTTAGGCACAAGTGGAACAGCAACTTTTTGTGAAGAGGTCTTTAATATTTCCTCGAAATCCTGGGGGTCCTTTATCCCGTATTTTATCGGGATAATGCTATCCGTTTCAGTGCTCGTAGGAATAATATTTAATTTTCAGGTGAAAATATTTGCAATTTGTATAATTTTCCTTATTCACTCTTTCCTCCAGGATTTTCAAACTGGTGTTACTCACTACAAGAATACCAGCAATTTAAGGTTTATATTAGCCACCTTCGTTTTCACTCTGAGAAGTCGCGGCTTTTTGATTGGTTCATTTCTACCTGTATTCATATGTTATTTCGATGAAAGTTATATTGAATTTGCCAGTACCCTTACATTTCTTATGCTGGGCGCAGGCGTGGGCATTGCGTTTGTCGCTTTTTTTCTGTTAATAGGACCAATTCAAACGTCTTTTTGTACAGGTCGACTAGCACAGAATCACAACTTTGTTCTAATTCTCTGCTGTTGCCGGTTGCTGATATCAATCTTTATTGGAGTAATCATTGGCTTTGTTGCAGCAATATCGGTTACGAGAAGTTTAGACGACGAGTCATGTACTGAAACACTAAATACTTCGATCCTATTAAACTGGCATCCTGTGCAGATCTCCATTACTTGGTTTCTGATCCTTTCTCCAATGGACTTTATTTCCGAATACGAAAATTCTATAAGCATTATGTTGTCAATAAAACGTGGATTATGGGGGCCTTTTAATATACTACTCATTTTAGCGGCCTTTTATCATTGTAAATTTGCAATTAGTACGCCAATATTCTATTTTGTAATAATGTATCCTTTATTTATCTGTTTTAGTTTCTGTCAAGAATGGTTTCGCGTTCGTTCAATGCCTAACATAACGGGAGGCCTATCTAACAATTTTATGTTACTAGCACTAATGGCCACTGGAAAAATTGACACGGCCATGTTAAAAGGTGCCCTGAACGAAAAGTTTCCCTCACTCAAACTGCAGATCCTTGATTTTGCTGGAGATAAAGAATACTATGCCTATCATCATATGTTTCTCAAGAGCCAGGCTATTTATATCATTGTATTCAACATAGCTAAGCATGTACACAATAACTTTAGGAATATAAATGGAGCCATCCAAAGAGTTCAGTTCTGGTTGGAATCTGTCTGTAGCCATGTACCATCGAAAACACCAATCTTCCTTGTTGGAACACACAGAGGAGACTTGAACAAAAACTGCATGCACATCTTAAATGGTCATTTAAGGAAACATCTTTGGGACCGCTACTGTGATGAGCTGGTTATCAATGATGTTGATAAGTTGATATTTTTTCCCGTTGAAAACTCCAAAGGAGAAAATGATGTTGGAGTCCAGAGCCTTCGAATGAAAGTCATGTCTGTTGCCGAAGAAAGAGAGGAAGTTAGAGATTGTGACATACCTTTATCATGGATTGCAATCAAAGATCTAATTATCAATCAAAGGGAAAAGGAGAAAGCCAAGTTCTGTGTGACACTTAAAGAATTTCCCTACTCATTTGACAACTTCATTTGCACTGACTGGTCTGAAGAAACCTTAAAGTACTTCCACGAAAAAGGCCTGCTAATATATCTTGACAAAGATCCGGAGCTTTCCAAATGGGTGCTTCTTAAGCCTGAAATACTGGTTAATATCATCATCCAGCTTGTCACACCACCACCGCAAATGAAAGAGGAAAGAGGCTTCAGACGTGACTGGAAACTTCTGCATCGCAAAGGATTGCTGACTAAATCACTGCTGACCAGAATAATCTCAACAGTACAAGAAAACGAAGAAGCCTTGACAGCATTCCTTGAAGAATACGATTTGATCTGCCCCTTGTCAAACAAGGAGGTGAACATTTGTAGC